AGAACTTTTTGCTTCCTGAGTTTTGCTTCCTGAACCATTTGTTCACCCCAAATCTGGCTGGCCACTAGAACAAATGCTTCTGGAGAAGAACCCAGAGCCCATTTGAAAGTATGAAGATGGAAGAGCATCAGCCTTCAAATGAGAAATGGCATATCTAAATCCTAGCTTGCCTTTGCCTCTTACAAACAACAGCAACAAATACAAAGGTTCCCTGTGCATGACAGGATAATGAGAGCTCAAGTCTGATATAGTATGCATACACATACTCCAGGACTGCAGGTAGTGATGCTTGAACCTGGAAGTTGAGTTGCAATTCAAAGGAGCCTCCCGACATTGTAATAGTTACTGCAGATTTCTCAAAACTTTCCTAGTTTAAAACCGTAGCTAAATATCTTCTCAGTAAAGATGTTCTAATGGGATTTCTTACAAGATTTTTGGCACTACATAGACATCCTTATTGTAGTGGGTCTTGCAATATTTTGGCACTTCTGAATTCAGCCAAAACCATCAAGTGAAATGGTGTGTTTTTCTTTAAATTAGCCTAACTTTTAAAAAACAAAATACATGACAGGTTCAGTTGTGGTTTAATTTGAGAGCTGGGATGTGTACATTTTTAGAGCAATTTGGCTTGCCCCCTCCCTTGTGCTTAGTGAACTCAGAATATAAAAAAGTTGCTTGATAGAGTAACATGTTCCACTTGGCTTGAACCAAGATTAATCTTCTTGGTATTGAGCGTTTCCTAATTAACTCAAAACACAAAACCTCTGTGTTTCACATTAAATTCACTCACACACACTACTCTATTCAAATTCCTTTTAAATCTATAACCTGGCAGAAACTTTGTCAGCCACTTTATTGTATCCAAAATTTGATTCAGTCTCTCTCTCCTCTCTCTCTCTCTCTCTCACACTCACACTCACACACAGCCAGGCCTTACCAAAGGATCCCTTTCATGGAAATGAAGGGAGTTCTCGTCTGAATAGTTATCATCACTAATGCTGTGTTTAAAGCTCTTGGAACTGGGTATGGGCTTAGAAGAGCGAGAGAAAACTTTCCTAGCCTGTACGTTAACTGCTTTCTGTTTCTCTTGCACTTTGACTAGCTCTGCATGCAGTACTGGCCAGAGAAAACATCCTGTTGTTATGGCCCAATCCAGGTGGAGTTTATTTCAGCAGACATTGATGAAGATATCATCAACAGGATATTCCGTATCTGCAACATGGCCAGGGTAAGATCAGTAAAATCCCAGCTATTCCATTTACTCATTCATCTATCCCATCCTGTGAAATACTTGCTCATACATATGGTGCAGAGGTGTTATTAAATCCCTAGGCCAGGTACAAAAGCCATTGCAGGATTTTCTTGCAGCTCCAGTAAATAGAAGACTTCTCAGTGAAATCAGAAGGTGAATAATGTGAACTGGATCTGTACTGATCTGGGAAGTACATCCTGGAGGGTACATTGCCTTAATCAACTAGTAGTCAATATAGTCATCATTAATTCTAGTAGCTCCACTAGGATACTTGAATCACAGAAGTCCCGTTATGCCACTGATGCCCACCTGCCTGCTTTCTGGAGCTCCTCTCCACCCTTCTCTGCTGGGCCAGATCCTCTGGTCTCCCTCAGACAAGACACAGAGTTGGGGTAACCACCACCTCCAGGGCCACACAGACACTGAACCAGTTCAGCTCTTGGAGGGGCGGGGGGCTTAGCACCAAGAAATTAACCCCCAAAATGGACCAAAACACCAAATAAATCCATAGTTCATAAGATCCTCCCACTTTATCAATGTTTGCTCTCTCTTCAAGTAACAATTACTCACACTGAGCTTGATAATAAACAAAAGTGTTTTTATTAAGTACAAAAGTAGGATTTAAGTGGTTGCAAATGAAAACAGTCAGTTGAAAGTAGTTACTAAATTAAAATGAACAAGAAGTGCTTAGCTAGTTCTAATACACTAAGGCTACATCTACACTGGTGGCTTCTTGCGCAAGAACTCTTTTGCGGAAGAGTTCTTGTGCAAAAAATCTTCCACAAGAACGTGTCCACACTGCCATGTGCTTTTGCACAAGAGCATCCATGGCAGTGTGGACACTCTCTTGCGCAAGAAAGCTCTGATGGCCATTTTAACAATAGGGGCTTCTTGTGCAAGAAATTCATATTGCCTGTCTATACTGCCCTCCTGTGGAAGAGCTCTTGTGCAAGAGGGCTTATTCCTTGTGGGGAGAGGAATAACTCTTCTGGAAGAAGCCCTGTTTTACAACACTATACTGTAAATTTACTTGCTCAAGAACACTCGTGCAGTGCAGACCACAGGCAAGTTTTTGCACAAGAACGGCTGTTCTTATGCAAGAAGCTGCCAGTGTAGACATAGCCTGAAGGTACATCTACACTGCAAAGCTATTTCAGGATACCAGAGGTATCCCAAAATAACTACCCTGCATTTACACAAGCCACCCATTATTTTGAATATTTTTCAAAATAACAGACGTGCTATTTCGCCATCTTCTTGCATGAGGGAGAAATTTGGCAATGTGTAGACTCGCCAAATTTCAAAATAAGCTACTTTGAAATAGATTCGAGATGAGATATGCAATTTTCTCAAATTGCATATCTTATTTCGAGTTTAGGGCACTGTGAAGACACATCCTAAAACACTTGTTACATGCAAATTCTTACCCTAAACAGCTTTTCTTATATCAGGCAAAAAGCTTTGAGTCAGTGTTGATCTTTACTCTGGCCTGGATTTTGAGAGTTCTTTGTATCCTGTTAGGATGGGTCAAGTAGTTTTGAGGGCCAGCTGTAGACAAAGGACTGATGGTTTCCCATTGCTTAAATCAGGAGTAGGCAATAATTTTTGATTGGGGGGACACTCCAAGAATTTGGAAAGTAGTCATTGGTGCAGTTTTCCATGATACTAATGGAGGAGGCACAGAGTCTGGGATGGAGGTTGGGTAAAGGAGGAGGTTATGACCTGGAGCACAGGACTAGGGTGTAGTAGGAGATGCAGGGTCCTGGAGGGAGTATGGATTCTAAACTGGAGGAGGAGTGCAGGAGGGAGTGCAGGGTCTGGGAAGGGGTTGTGACTTAGGGTGGGGGTGCAGGGATTTGTTTTATGACTGGGAGTAAGGGATTGGGGTGCAAGGTTTATCTGACTTATGTCCTTTAATCCTTTGTCAGAGAGACTGTCCAGTTTGACCAGTATACATAGCGGAGGGGCATTATTGGCACTTGATGGCATATATCACATTAGAGGATGCACTGTTATATGAGCCTCTGATATTGTGGCTTTTGTGGTTAAGGCCTGTGATGGTGTTACTTGTATAGATGTGTGGAGTTGACAACTGGGTTTATTTCAGGAATAGGTTCCTGGGTGAGTGTGTCTGAGGTATGGTATGTGCCGGATTGGTTAAGGCCTGTGATGGTGTTACTTGTATAGATGTGTGGAGTTGACAACTGGGTTTATTTCAGGAATAGGTTCCTGGGTGAGTGTGTCTGAGGTATGGTATGTGCCGGATGGAAAGAATTTGCTTCAGGGTTGTCTGTAGGCAAGGACTGGCCTATTTCCCAAAGCCTATGAGAGGGAAGGATCATTATCCAGAATAAGTTGTAGATTATCAGTGATGTACTGAAGGGGTTTAAAATGGAGGCTCTAGGTCAGTGGTCCCCAACACGGTGCCCGCGGGTCCCATGGTGCCCGCGGGGGCATTTGTGTGCGTCCGCCAAGTGCTCGGGGCTGGCCCGGCCCCGGGTGCACGGCACTTGGGGTCATGGCGCATGGTGAGTGCCGGCCCCGGAGCACCGCGGATTGGCCACCCTGAACTGGTTCCTGGTGGCCTTAAATGGGGGTTAGAGTCTAATCCAGTGGTCCCCAACACGGTGGGAGCGCCATGGGGGAGCGCCAGCCCCGGGCGCACGGCGCTTGAGGGGACAGGGGCTGGCCCCGGGCGCGCGGCGAATTGGCCGCCCACCCCCAGGTATGCAGCCCTTGGAGGGGGCACCAGCCCCGGGCATGCGGCACATGGGGGGGGCCCCGCCCCTGGGTACACGGTTATGGGGATGGGCCCCGCCCCTAGGCGCGCAAGTGTCCCTGCCCTCTGGCGCCCGGCGGGCGAACGGCCACGTCCCCTGGCACCCGGCAACCTCAAATGGTTGGGGACCACTGCTCTAGGTGATGAGTAGACACAAATGGAGGGGGCACCAGCCCCGGGCATGCGGCACATGGGGGGGGCCCCGCCCCTGGGTACACGGTTATGGGGATGGGCCCCGCCCCTAGGCGCGCAAGTGTCCCTGCCCTCTGGCGCCCGGCGGGCGAACGGCCACGTCCCCTGGCACCCGGCAACCTCAAATGGTTGGGGACCACTGCTCTAGGTGATGAGTAGACACAAATCAGATATCAGGAATGGGAACACAGAGAAACCTTCAGAGCAGTAGCCACATTAGTTTGTAACTGAAAAAACTTAAAAAACAATGGATAATCTATAGCAGCACCTTAAAGACTAACAAAAAATGTAGATGGTATTTCCTGGGCACAACTCACTTCTTCATATGAGTGGAGTATTAAAAGTCCAGTTCCAAAAATAAATAGGGGATCGGGGAAGGGGGGAAGGAAGGGAAAAAATAGTGAATTAAAGTGTTCACATTACAACAAATAGAGAAGGTGCAAATTGTTCTTAAGTACACATTGTTTAGTTGGTTCATTCATTAGGATGTGGAAGGTAGTGTGCTAGCCAGGTAATGTCTTTATTCATACATTTTTGATGGCTCCCAAACTTGTAAATGAAGTAAAGTTCCAACACTTCCCTGTGAGTTTGGCCGGTGGAATTGGCCTGAAACAACATGGGGACTTTGAGAACCATTAATGAGGGCCCAGGCAGGTTAAATTGTTCTCTGATGGGTTTTTGTGTTTTGCCTTGTCAGATATCTGATTTGTGTCCACTAATTCTTTCCTGTAGAGACTGTCCTTTTTGGCCAATATACATGGCAGAAGGGTATTGCCGACATTTGATGACATGGATCACGTTAGCGGATGTGCAGTTAAATGAGCCCCTGATGTAGTGGCTGATGTGGTTGGATCCAGTGATGAAATTGTTTGTGTAGCTGTCTGGACAGAGTTGGCACCAGGGCTGATTGCAGGGCTGGGTTCCTGGATAACTATGGTGGAGGGATACATGGTTGCTGGAAAGAATTTGTTTGAGGTTAAGGGGTTGTCTGTAGGCGGGGATTGGCCTTTCACCCAAGGCCTGAGAGAGTGAGGGGTTATTTTCTAGGATAGGTTGTAGACTGTTGATAATCTAGGTTTAAGATCAGCGTCTAGACTGGTGCTTTTCTCCGACAAAGCTCCGTGCCGAAAAAAAGCGGCAGCCATTTTTATGCTAATGAAGCACGGGAGATTTAAATCCCCGCTTCATTAGCAATTGCAATACGTCTGATTTACATCCCTTTTCCGAAAAAGGGATGTAGTCTAGATGTAGCCTTAGTGATTTCAATTCTTTAGCCACCACCTAGGCTAGCAAAAGATTCCAGGTGCCACTGAAATAACAAAAAGACTCCTAATGGAGTCTGCTTTAGGTCTATCCTTAGAACAGGGGGGGAAAGAGACAGGTTGAACTAGTCTTACTGCTCACATCTAGTAGGCATGAAGCTCAAGCCTTCCCTCTCCCTCCCCCTCCCCCAGTTCACTCAACTCTGGAAGAGGGATGCTTGTTTATCTGAGACCCCTTACAATGATGGTCTCTCTCCTGCAAGCATTGGTCATATTTTACAGTTCCTACATTTAGAGGTAGCATGTTTGTGACCCCACAACAGCCAAATTAGTTACAATACACCACATTCCATCCTAGCAACGGATCCTCCATCAGCCCTGTCTGAATTGGGTTTACATAACCGCACCACACCCCAGCATGAGCTGTATTTACATATCAAAAGTTAATTATCTTGCAGGGCTAACCAACTTCAGCTGGCTGCATTGCAAGCAGTCTTTCAGACCCCTGGCTGCATTGCAAGCAGTCATTCAGTCCTTACTTACAGAAGTTTTTTTGGTTTTATGAGAGAGCCCTGTAGGGGAACATTTTAACCTGCCTGGACACTCATTAATGGATTTAAAAGTAGCCATTCTTCTACAAAGGAATTTCACAAGCCAACTAGAGAGAGAAAGTGTGCAGAATTGACCTTATATGCAAATTTGACACTGTTTCCCTTGGTCTGAACAAAGACACTAAAACCAGTCTTCCTTAAATTTGCGATATCATTGACAACAAAAGCTAAGTATGGGCCACTTCCAGCCCATGCTATTAGCCTCATTAGCACCTGCACTACTATTGGTGGGTACTTCTTTTTCTTCTCCCTATTTTTTTTGTTATAATTCTGATAGTCCGCCTTTTTTCTCCACTCAAGCTCGTCTGAAGAAGTGGGTTTTGCCCATGAAAGCTCATAATACTATACATATTTTTGTTAGTCTCTAAGAAGGGTACGTCAACATTGCAGCACTATTCCAGGATACTTGCAGTATCCTGAAATAGTGACGAGGAGTCCTGTGGCACCTTATAGACTAACTGAAGTGTAGGAGCATAAGCTTTCGTGGGCAAAGACCCACTTCGTCAGATGCATGTAGTGGAAATTTCCAGAGCATGCATTTACTCTGTAAATTTCCACTACATGCATCTGACGAAGTGGGTCTTTGCCCACGAAAGCTTATGCTCCTACACTTCAGTTAGTCTATAAGGTGCCACAGGACTCCTCGTCGCTTCTGCAGATTCAGACTAACACGGCTACCCCTCTGATATCCTGAAATAGTTATTCTGCATCTTGACAGTGCGCCCATTATTTTGAAATGTCTTTCGAAATAACGGGTGTGCTATTCCAACATCTCTGAAAACTTTGTTCCACAAGGATTAAAGGACATTTCCTAATAGAGATTTATTTTGAAAAAATTACAAAATAAGCTATTTTGAAATAGCTCAAAATAAGCTATGCAATTTGAGCTATGCAAATTGCATAGCTTATTTTGAGTGTAAGAGTGCAGAGTACATGGTTTGCATCAACACAACAGGTCTACGTCTAGACTGGAATGATTTTCCGGAAATGCTTTTAACGGAAAAGTTTTCCGTTAAAAGCACTTTCGGAAAAAAGCATCTAGATTGGCACGGACAAGTTTTCCATTAAAAGCATTTTCGGAAAAGAGCATCTAGATTGTCATGGACGCTTTTCCGCAAAAGCACTTTTTGCGGAAAAGTGTCCATGGCCAATCTAGACGCGCTTTTGCGCAAAAAAATCCCCGATCGCCATTTTCGCGATCGGGGCTTTTTTGCAGACAACAAATCTCAGCTGTCTACACTGGCCCTTTTGCGCAAAAGTTTTGTGCAAAAGGGACTTTTGCCCAAACGGGAGCAGCATAGTATTTCCACAAAAAGCACTGATTTCTTACAGTAAGAAGTCAGTGCATTTGTGGAAATTCAAGCAGCCAGTGTAGACAGCTGGCAAGTTTTTCTGGAAAGCAGCTGATTTCCTGGAAAAACTGGCCAGTCTAGACACAGCCAAGAAGTTTCTTGACATAATGTCAAAATAACGTCTAGCCGGAGGACTTCTTACTCTGACTCTTGTAACCCTCATTTTATGAGGAGTAAGGGAAGTCAGAGAAAGAGACTTACGCTGTGTAGATGGCACCTTACGCTGTGTAGATGGCACCAAAAGCCAAAATAAGCTATTTCTGCTTAAGCTATGCAATTGACCTAGCTCAAGTTGCGTAGCTTATTTCAAATTTAGCCCTGCTAAAGTGCCACAGGACTTTCCATTGTCATCTTTATAAAATCTTTTCACTCAGCACCCATTAGACCCAATCCTACAGATGGAGAGAAAACAGCCCCAACAGGGCTCACAAAACAGGATTTTCTCAAGCACGATTATTGCTCTGCCATAGTGGTTAACCGTAGTGCTTACTTTGTTATTTCAGTACAAATTTCCCACCCAGTTGGGTGCCATTCCTGTATTTCCTGTTCTCACTATGTGCACATCTATATAACAGGGCTAATGTCAAAATAACTTATTTCAGCTTTTGGCACTGTCTACACAACAAGAAGTCCGAGTTAGAGCATGCTTCCTCTGACTTCCCTTACTCCTCATAAAATGAGGTTTACAGGAGTCGGAGTAAGAAGTCAACATTTGAGTCGGAGTAAGAAGTCGACAGTTTGACATTTCAACGTTGTGTCAAAATAACAGCTTGCTGCATAGATGTGGACTATGTTATTTGGGAATGTCAGTTATTCCGAAGTAATGCTGCTGTGTAGACATATCCTATGAGAAATGGAGATGTCAGCTGGCCTTTGAAAATGATCCTGCTACCTTCTATAGCATTTTCTGAGTCTGAGCTTAGGTGACAGCAATTATTCCATTAAAGAAACAGTTGGAGGCTGGTCTGTGTTACTGAATCACCATGAGCTCTTTTCCTTTGTTTTTTGTGAATGATTGAAAATAGTTATTTTATCCTTTTTCCACCATGTGATGACTATATCCCTGAATGAAAACAGTTGTCTTCAGAGCCCTATTCTCGTTCTTGTAGCAGTCTCAACTATAAAGCCTCTCCACAAACCTCTTCCTCATCCTCAAAATATGAAACTACCCTCCTTCTCTGAACATATTTTTCTCTGGAAAGAGAGGAGCCTTGCACTCAGTTGTGTTGCGCTTCCTTTTGGCCTGTAGCTTAGTTATTATTAATTTGAAGACTTAGTAGTAGCAATAGCTACATTATTTGGTGATGTTAAGTAATGCATGTGTAACCTGTAACCACCATACTCCCCCAATCCCCTGCTCTCCCTCACCACCTTTCTGATGGTATAAAGGAAGTGGATTATGTTTTAGCCCCAGGACGGATACCATATAGTGCAGCATTTGCAGTATATTGGCTGGCCAGCATACCGGGACACCCCTCCATCCAAACGCTCTCTCTTGAAGGTGGTTAGACGACTAGAGAAATGGCAAGAGCAGTACGAGGGGAGAGATGGACGCACTGTTGTCCACTGCCTGTAAGTATGGTTGGGAATACTTTCGATCCAGTGGTGCAAGATAGAAAGAATTAATTACAGATGTGGAAATCAGATAGCCGTCCTATACTCGAGCAGGGGAAATGAGGTTAAATTGCATTCAAGAGACAAGAGAAGTGCTACCATGATGGATCATGGTATCATGTGTCACTATTTCCACTGTAAATAATAGTGAGTGATCACAACAATACTGCTGCTTACAGCAGTGGGGTCTCCAGTTGATTCTTTCAATAGCCACCTACCATTGATGGTGTGTCAAGCTGCCCTGTGGGAGCATTTTATTTTCTGACGCAGTAAGCTTTTTGAAAGAGGGCCTGTCTGCCTGGGGTCTCAATGCAGTGTTGTAATTCTAATAATAATTAATTACAATTAATTAATTAGACTCTGAATAGTTTTGAGCTCTCAGGTTCCCCTGAGATCACATACATCATAGAAGTGGCATGACAGGTCCATGATTGTCAGTGCAATGTTTTGTAGTTAATTCTTGTACAACACTTTCCATTCAAGCATCTAAACCCCCTGTGTAAATTTTAATGAATGAAGCCTCACAAAATTACAAGTGACTTCTTTATTATTCTAGTTTTATAGATGAGAAAACTAAGACCTGGGGTACAGGGCTTGCTTTAGGGGCACCAGGCTGCAATGCAGAGCTGGGGACCAGCAGTGTAGAGTCAGAAGCTACTCTCATCTGTCAGGGGAGCATCTGCTTTCTCCTGGTGGAGGACCATGGGGGTGAGCTTTGATGCACAGTTTCTGCTCCTCCCACAATGTTCTTCTTTGCCCCCCAGCAGGCTGAGAGAGGGAGGAAGTAAAACCAAGTGCTCTGTGCATCCACATCACTTTCCCCATCTTGGCTGCTACTCTCCTGCCCTCCCCTTGCCCAAGTGGGCAAAGTGACCTGGATATAGGGAACCCTGATGTTACTCTTTGCTCCTTCCTTCACACTCACCTGGTGTGTGTGGTAGGTCAGTGGTCTGTGGAGGGAGGGCAGGAGCAGCAACACCAGCTATTCCTTACTTCAAAGTCATGGGCACAGGAGGGAGAAGCCAGGATTCCATATTCCCTAAAGCCATACCACTGTGGGTGTGAAGAGATTTGGAAGACACTGTCATTGACTAGATTAATGACCAAGGGTAAATCACATTCCTATATTGTGATCTCTAGACCAGTGTTTCTCAACCTTTTTTTTATTATTATAAAGTACCCCTTTAAAAAAATTATAAGTACCCCCAGTACCTAGTTTTCAAACACACATTTTTTTTTCTACCATTGCAATGCATGGCTACGTCTAGACTACATCCCTTTTTCGTAAAAGGGATGTAAATTTCGTAAAAGGGATGCAATTGCTAATGAAGCAGGGATTTAAATCTCCCCCGCTTCATTAGCATAAAAATGGCTGCCGCTTTTTTTCTGCACGGAGCTTTGCTGGAAAAAAGCGCCAGTCTAGATGCTGATCTTGCGGAAAATAAAGCCTTTTCCGAAAGATCTCTTATCCCTCTTGAAATAAGGGATCTTTCAGAAAAGGCTTTATTTTCCGCAAGATCAGCGTCTAGACTGGCACTTTTTTCCGGCAAAGCTCCGTGCGGGAAAAAAGCGGCAACCATTTTTATTCTAATGAAGCGGGGGAGATTTAAATCCCTGCTTCATTAGCAATTGCAATACATCTAATTTACATCCCTTTTACGAAAAAGGGATGTAGTCTAGACGTAGCCCATTTGTTTAAACAACTTAATTGTAGCCGGGTGGGCAAGGACATTTTTGGGTGTAAAAAGTACAAAAATAATAAAGCATTGTAAAACTTAAAGAAAAATTCAGTTCTCCAATTTTCAGTTGTGTTGATGTACCCCCCAGACTTTGCTTAAGTACCCCTAAGGCTACTCATCCCACTGGTTGAGAAACACTGCTCTAGACTCTTCTTTAAACCCTTGGAAGCTTCCTTCTTGTAAGGGAGGCCTGAATGCAGCTCAGTGGTTTGAGCATTGGCCTGCTAAACCCAGGGTTGGGAGCTCAATCCTTGAGGGGGCTATTTAGGGATCTGGGGCAAATTTGTCAGGGATAGTACTTGGTCCTGCTATGAGGGCAGGGAACTGGACTTAATGATCTCTCAAGGTCCCTTCCAGTTCTATGAGCTGGTATATCTCCATATATTATATTATGGCATGCATTTGGGAGAGCATGGCTCTTTACAGGATACACACAGGCCTTCGTTTGCCATTCCTGGGCATCCCTTTATAAACTGCCTCTTTTCTTCCTGCCTAGGAATGGCGGTGGACGCAGCGGCACCTTCTGTGCCATCTGCAGCGTGTGTGAAATGATTCAGCAGCAAAATATCATTGACGTGTTTCACATAGTGAAGACGTTACGGAATAACAAATCCAATATGGTGGAGTCTCTGGTAAGTCTACACACACACACACACACACACACACACTCACACTCCTATCTCTTTAGGATGCAGTGAGTAAAGAATGAGTTAAAAGCAAATAAAAAAAACAAAAAACAAAAGTGATAGAGTCAGGGTTTGCAGCACTATCCATCAGTAAGAATGAATGATTTCCCTCAAGTGTGTATGAGAGTTATAGTAGGTACCTTCGGGAAATTATTAATATTCAGTATCATGATCAGTGTTCCTTCTAAGGTGCGCATCTGCATGTGTGCACACCAAGAATTTGAGGCCCACCCACCTTCTCAGCAGGGCCACACAGTGGCTGTTTAGCTGCTCCGGGGTGGGACTGCATGCAAGGTGGCTGCCTCACCCCAGGAGCAGCAGTGAAGCCACCACACAGCCCTGGCCTTAGCTTCAGCCCTTCCCCAGGTCTGGAGCTGCACCCGTGGGGGCTGCATGGTGGGTGGCAGCTGCTCTGGTGGCTCCAGCTGGGTGGTGGTTGCTGCCAAGGCTGGGACCAGATCCACATGGCAGGCAGCAACTTCAGCCAGGGCCAGAGCCACATGGCAGGCAGCAGCTGCAACTGGAGCAGTAAGCTTCTTTCCCCCTGAGAATCAATGGGGAATATGTCTACACTACCACCCTAGTTCGTATGCCTCGTGGAACAAGGTGTACAGATAGTTTGGAACAGGAAGCCTAATCCGAACTATCTAGTTCGTGCCGCGTGTAGCCACGGGCACGGGGTCCGCACTAGCGGACATTTAAAAATGGCGGCGCCCGGCAACATGCAAATGAAGCCCGGGAAATTCAAATCCCGGGTTTCATTTGCAAGTTCGTATGACTACATTAACCACCCTAGTTCGAACTAGGGTGGTAGTGTAGACATACCCTGGGAGTGTTACCATTATCATTAACAGGAAGAGGATTGGGCCCACCAACTGGAAGAAAAAGACACATCCATATAGTCATGATCAATAAATAGTCTTGCAACACCTTAAAGACTAACAAAACATGTAGATGGTATCATGCGCTTTCATGGCACAACCCGCTTCTTCAGCTGAATGGAGTTACTAAAGATCCAGTTTCAAAATAAATAAGGAGTGGGGGCTGTGACGGCGCGTTGGGGGTCCCCCGTCTCCTGCACCCTCATAGTGGCACGAACAGACTCCGCCAGCCAGTAGAATAGAGGGAGTTTATTGCTTCTCCAGGATACAGCACAGCACAGATGGAATCTGGTTACAGGGCTAGGCATGTGATGCGTCAGTCCCCCCTTGAGATGGGGGAGACTGGGCCCCTAAAGCCCAGCCTCCTTGCTCAGGCTGCTTCCTCCATGATTCCAGACAGAAACTAAAAAACTCTCCTCCAGCCCTAACCCCCAGCCAGGTGTTGGTCTCCGCCCTCCTTCCTTTGTCTCCCTCCCTGGGTGTCTGGGTTAATACACATTTGGGAGAGTCAGTGAGAATCTCCCATCACAGCTCAGGGGAACCCCGAGTCACAGAGCAGACAGCACCCCCACTACGCCACAGGAGCGGAGAAGAGAAAAAAAGGGAAAGAAATAGTCAGCCTCCAACAAGTACCCATTGTTTGTTTTTTTATTTCATTGGGATGTGGAATGTAGTGGGCCATCCAGAACAATTTGCAACTTCTCTATCAGCTTCGTGTAGCGTGGAGACTCTAATTGAAACATATTATGTGCATGTGATATTTGTTTGTTACTGATTGGTGCGACAGTGGCACACATCCGAGCAAGTGTACGTGACCTCAATATTGGTGCACAAGATAATACTCACTCAGCTCATGGATGGAAAATCTTTGAGGGACCATGGATCATGACTGTATGGATTTGTCCTTTTCTTCCAGTTACTTTGCACCCTGCTTATGCTCTGCCAATGCTATAGACATGCAGTTTGGTCCAAAAGGTATTAAACATTTCACTCCTGGAGTCCAACCTTGTCAAGTGATGTGGAGACAGCATTGGAGGGCTGTGGGCACATTTTAGAATCAGGCTGTTAAGAAGTCACTGCTAGCATTTCTCTTTTTCTTTCTTTTTCAGGAACAATATAAATTTGTATATGAGGTTGCACTGGAATACTTAAGTTCATTTTAGCCTGGCAGAATGAGTGGCCTATTGGATTCCAGATTCCCAAGTCTGAAGGACATTTTTCCCTGCACTAAAAGGCTGTAATGGGTGTGGGGAGGTCCAGGCCATCCACACTGGAGCAAGAAACAGACTCTACTGACCTCAATGTGATTGGGAGAATGAAGCAATCCCTGTGTTTGCTGCTGCCTGCTTTCTATTGGAGCATCTACTGCTTTTTAAATAACCTAATGTACAAATTGGCAAAGCAGGAGATGGGCTGGAAGACTGCTTTCTAATCCCCTCCAACCTCTTCTCTACCATTTTGGATGTGTATTTTTGCTCTCCTTGATACAAAGGAAAAAATACTGGAATAGTCTGTATTTTAAACAACCTTCTGTTCTCAAATCCCATCCTTTAATTTTTTAATTTCATGCATCAGCCATTTGGAAAAATTAGAAAACCACAGGGAACAAGTGAGACTTTTGATTACAATTAATCCACATAATCTATTTTTTTTCAAGTGAAAATGCCATCAATGAGAAGTTGAAATTCTCCTCCTCCCTTCTGTTCTCCCTAGACATATAATGTATGGATGTAGTGGTGGATCTCTTAGGAAGCTGTTCATGGATCAGCTGCATCAACTGCTACACTAGCTTTTCTTTCCATATCCTGCTTGACTTCCAAGACTTTAAATGGACTGGTTACATCTCTGTGATTCATGGTAGTGTCAGTGCTGGAAAAGCCAATAAGAAAAATGAGTTTCACAGCCATTTGAGCAAACAAGCCCTCCATCAAATCAATTGCATTTGGTTTGTAATTTTGGTCATTTTTACCACGTGTTTTTCAAGCATTGGCTTGGGGTATAGTGTCTCTTTAATAAGAAGAGCATAAAGTGGATACCTGTGGATGATGTATTATAGATCATTACTGTAGCATCTAGTCATGGATCACAATCCTATTGTGCCAGGTACAAACACAGAAAAGAAAGATGATCCCTTCCTCTGAATGTAAGCACATGTCTACAATGCAGCTAATTAGGATTTTACCTGAGTTTTAGACCAAACCCCATGTCCAGCATCCACACCTAAAAACCTCTGATGTGATTATGGAGAACCCAGGCTGCCTGACCCAGCTGGGGGGGTGGATTAGAATGCAGGCTCCACTTTAACTGTTTCCAAAACCGGACTACTTTGACTTGAGAATTCAGACTAAATTGCTGCTGAGCTAACAGGTTCTCTACACCCCTACGCAAGAGGGGAGGACAGATCCTCCTTCCCTGAAGGGGCATGGCCTCAGATGGAAGGGCCGGGGCAACTGGCCTCAGCGCAGCCTGGACCCCACACACATACCCCTAGCACTGTCTGAAGCATGCCATGATCAAACGATTAAATCATTGGCAGTGATTTAAAGGGCCCAGGCTCCTGTCCACAGCAACAGTAGCCACAAACCTCAGGCCCCTTGGAATTGTTGGGTCTCAGAGTAGTTGCCCCCTTTGCCTGCCCACCTGTCCTCCCTCACCCAGGTCAATGGGCCTGGCTGATAGCCCTCCAATGCCCTGCTCACAATTCCCCCCTCAGGACAGAAAGTTCTTCTGCAACTAACACAACTGATTGGGAAAGACTCTCAGGCTACGTCTACACTGGCGCGTTCTCACGCAAAAACTCTTCCAGAAGAGAGTGTCTACACTGGCGTGTGCTTTTGTGCAAGATCATCCGTGCCAGTGTAGATGCTCTCTTGCGCAAGAAAGCTCTGATGGCCATTTTAGCCATCGGGCTTTCTTGTGCGGGAAATTCATGTTGCCTGTCTACACTGGCCTCTTGCACAACAACAGTTGCACAAAAGGGCTTATTCTTGAGCAGGAGCGTTAGAGTTCTGGCGCAAGAAGCCCTGATTTCATACAGTAGAACGTCAGTTTACTTGTGCAAGAACATGTGGCCAGTGTAGACAGGCAGCAAGTTTTTGCGCAAGAGTGGCCGCTTTTGTGCAAGATTGTGCCAGTGTAGACACAGCCTTAGGCTAAGACTACCCTGCCACTTTACTCTGTTGCAGCTCTCTGGCTCAGAGTGTGAATAAATACCTTAGCACAGCAAGTGCCCCCAGTGTGGTGGTAGTTTAAATAAGAGCACTGGGAGAGCTACCTCCCAGCACTCCTGTGGCCAGTTTCACTTTAAAGCACTACAACAACTGCACTTAGACTGAGAGCAGATTCAGTGAGTATACACTAACGGGTGAGGATGCTTGCACCTGGGTGCAATTGCCCAGGTTAACTGCATTTTAGACATAGCCACAGCATGATCTTAATTTGGAAATGACTAAGCTTTCTACTCTGTTCCCAAACTGTTGTAGAAACGGTCATAACTGCATGATTATCCAGATCGCCCAGCTGTGAGATTGCTAAATGGTTACCCATTCAGCTTATCGCCAGGGTTATGCACATGAAAGTTGGTTTTATGAAAAGGGAAGAAGAATGTTTCAGCAGCACAGGAAACTTTGCATCACAAGCAAAAAGGTATTTGCTTTGTTTTGCTAAAATTTCTGTGGAATTCCTTTAATTTTTGGAAACAAGCACTGAGTGGCTATGTCTACACTGGTGGGTTCTTGCACAAGAACATCTGTCCTCTAGACAGGAATATTTAAATCCCTGCTTCATTAGCAATTTCGATGTGCCTAATCTCTCTGGCGACAAAGGGATGCAGTCTAGACGTAGCCTAAGAGTCCCAAAGTACTGTCCCCTCTAGCAACACAGACTGCTGTCCAACTCCTTTTATGGGCCTTTCTGGCCAGGGCGCCCGCGGGGGCATTTGTGTGCACCTGCCAAGTGCTCAGGGCTGGCCTGGCCCCGGGCACGTGGCGCATGCACGGTGCCGGAGCCGGCCCCGGGTGCATGGCGCACGGTGAGCGCTGGCCCCGGGGGTGCCGCGGATTGACCCCCCGCGGCGCATGGGGGG